AACAAATTTGACGGAGATCATTTCCCTGGTTAGGCAAATGGTGTCACTTGTTAACTCATAAATGGCGTTGACCATTGATCACAGATTTTTGAAATAGTAGCAAATTTGGTCGTTCAGTTCCTCACTTTCTGAGGTTAAAAATGCTAAAAAAGCTGAAAATGCAACGGCAAATAAAATAGTGAATCCGAAAGATAAAGGAATTAGTCGACCACAAATTCTAGGAAAAGCCTAACCTAGATAAAAAGTTAAAAAAACCACCTTCAGTAGAGATAATGGTTAAAGACTTTGACTCTTTAACCACTTCCGTATGTTGAATGTTTTCAAATGAGGGTTTTTTTTTCTTTTCTGTATCTTTTATTTCATTCCTCCTTATTTTGCTATATTAAAGGCCTTTTGATGATACACTATTAACAGTTGTAAGAATCTATACCTTTCAGTGTGTCATCATCAAAGTTCAGCTCTTTTCCGGTACCATGTGATGTAACATCACTCTCACATGCTGCTCCGTTTCCACTCTGTGCCATAATGGTTTGATCTGGAAAAATCAGTAAAAAGCTTTAAATTAACATTCTATTCACTTGTATAAGCACTGTTACTAAAACAACCATTCATTTTGCCACAAGTGGTAAACTCTCGTTAGTAAAAAACTTTTATCGAAACAAATCCATTAAAATTCTGTGGCAGGCAGTCAAGAAACGCACATTGAAGTCATTTCCATACAGCAGGACAGTACACGTAATCTGATTCAGTTTTCCATTGCGCTTTCAATCAAGACATGAAACTGCTTTCCAGAACTTAGTGGCCCACTCGTTCAGGCCACAATACAAACCAACCATTGCGAACTCACGTTTCGACAACCTCGGTGACTGATTAGTCTTGCGATTCAGAACTTTTTCTTTTTTTTCAGTTGTTTTTTTTTGTTACTTAGTCAATCGACTTACTAGCAGTAGGAAGTTACAGTGCCAGTTACACTAATACGTGACAGAACCATATTTGAAAACGGAATCAGGAGTCAATTGCAGCAATGTGCTATCATTAGGATGGCCCTTATAAAGATGCATATTGTCTCATTTTCGTGCAACTGAAACTCGGTTAAGTTTACTTGAAGCTTCATAGAATTTATTAAAGGAGATAATAGTCATAATTTGCAACAGCTTTCGTTATTGATAATACTTTGTTGATAAAAATTCCTGATATAAACATTGTTAATCAGATAAATCCTGTTTCCTACTTAAAGATATTTGGCTGCTATGACCACATACAACGACACTTTTTTTACTTTCAAAACTACCAAAAGTTAAGATAAGATTAACACTAAAATAACCTTTTTAAATAATAATCATAATAATCATAATCAGTCATAATAATGCTAATAATCATAATCATAATAAAAATAATAATAAATAGTACAATGTGAAGGTGCTGTGCCTGCACGGTAGGATTTCAGCATCCATTAATATAAATGCACACGGCCGTTCTCTGAATGTTTCTGTTGATGGGTTCAACGAGGGTCTTCAACTGCATAACAAATTACCATAGGAATGTTGTTTGGAACTAAAGTGAAAATCTTTATACTACCGCAACTGGGCAGGATATCACACTAACGAAACCGGTCTTGTAGTAGACGTATACGCATTCTAAAATATTAAGATTGGAGCGGCTATTAGAGCGGCTAGGGGTATACCGAACTACGTAATCCAGAAAATAAAAATCGACAAATTTGACAACTTAAACCAACCTAAAAATCGCCAAGGCAAAAAAATTCCGCATGTTTAGAATACCTCAATATCAGAATTCAAGACCACAATTACATAAGTAACACATGAAAATTTGCCAAACACCATAATACCGCTAAATTTCTCAAAGTAAGGCGCTAAAAATGTAAAACTCTGCTATACGCTCCCGTTTCCGAGACAGACGTTTGATTCGAAATGCCCCACCATGAGTAAGTGTACTCAGAGGCAATGCAATTGCCCAAAGGGGATGGTCACGCTTTTTTGCCAAAAAATAGAGGATACTTGGTTCTTTTCCCATTCGTGGTTGTTTCCTTCTTACTTGTAGGTCTCTCCTATTCAGTTTCGCATTCGATAATCTGTTTTGCGGTTATGAAGTACGTCTTAAGCAATTAACTTTAGTTAAAACAATTTGGGGTAGAACGAAACTCCAGTGGAGGTGCTCTGGATTTCAGGTGACGGCGATAATCGAAGGATTTTTTGGTTTTGAAATTTTCGATTCCGCGATTCTTTTGGGGTAGGAAAAATTTGGCAAGTATTTTCTTAGTAGGCTTGTCGTAAACTAAAGAACTGTAGCGGTGCATACTTCTGTATAGCATTTTTTGGGAGGTTGATTTTTGGTCCAGGGAATTTCTGGGGTTTTGATTTTTTTCGCCATTCGATTAGCCACGTCTCTAAAAATTCCGGAATAACCCTCGGGAACGAAACTCGCTATGGTATAAAAAATTAAAATGGTGAATTAAAATTGTTGGTACAAAAGATAAGAGTGCAATACAGTGAAGAAAACAAAGTGCAGTCATCCTACCAGTTGTTTTTATTCAAGCTGCGGTGAGTTAGACGCATTTGAAACTTTATTTCTAATTCGTTTAGGAAAGAAAATTGTTGGTACCTTGGTGAGGCATCGCCTGCAATTGTTATGATCTCTCATATTTGCACAGACATTATCATATCGAAAGCAGATTTTTGAAATATGGTCAGGAAGCGAGCAGCTGCCTTTCAAGTTTGAAACAACCAAGAAAAATGAAAGTTCAGGACTTGTACGGTAAAAATAACTATTTTAAACATAGATTGATGGTAGTCAACTCAAGCACGTAGGGCCAGCTGTGGTACCACGGTTTGAAACGTGCGGAAAGAGAGTCAAAAAACAAGATTGATTTCATCCACGGTTAACTGTATTTTTTTCTGCTTTATTAACGCGCGCGTTGTCGGGTTATTTAGTTGAAGTTTTCTCCGGACCAATTTGGCTTCACCCTTTCGGCGCTGACTCTCTTTCCAGGTCTGTTCACTGTGCCCCTGATGAGAATGACAGACCTTCTGAGGGGACTAAAATTTTAAATAACATCAGTCTATGTTCCCGTCTATATTAGTGAGCTCACTAGTACTTAATAACAGTGTAACATAGCTATTTATCTATTTAGTTCTCGTACCATAGCTAAATGAGTATTTACCACTTACTTAATGCTATGCATTCTTATTAAAAAATAACTAACGTATTTGTGGCTATTCTTCCCGCAGCTGCATGTAGTTTACGCTCAATGAACTGATGTGTAGTCATTGAACCACTGGTGTGGTTATTGATCTGTTGTCTACTTATTGAACTGCTGTGTCGTTATTGAACTAACAAAACAGAAAACTCAAGCACGTAGGGCCAGCTGTGGTACCACGGTTTGAAACGTGCGGAAAGAGAGTCAAAAACAAGATTGATTTCATCCACGGTTAACTGTATTTTTTTCTGCTTTATTAACGCGCGCGTTGTCGGGTTATTTAGTTGAAGTTTTCTCCGGACCGATTTGGCTTTACCCTTTCAGCGCTGACTCTCTTTCCAGGTCTGTTCACTGTGCCCCTGATGAGAATGACAGACCTTCTGAGGGGACTAAAATTTTAAATAACATCAGTCTATGTTCCCGTCTATATTAGTGAGCTCACTAGTACTTAATAACAGTGTAACATAGCTATTTATCTATTTAGTTCTCGTACCATAGCTAAATGAGTATTTACCACTTACTTAATGCTATGCATTATTATTAAAAAATAACTAACGTATTTGTGGCTATTCTTCCCACAGCTGCATGTAGTTTACGCTCAATGAACTGATGTGTAGTCATTGAACCACTGGTGTGGTTATTGATCTGTTGTCTACTTATTGAACTGCTGTGTCGTTATTGAACTAACAAAAAAGAAAACTGAGCTATTGAATCCATATACTGGGCTATTCTGGTATATGGCAACCATGTCTTTCCCTTAAACTGCCCGCTGTGCGCCAGACCTGTCAGCTTGTTCACGGCTGTAGAGGGTCATTGCACTCGGCGACAGGCATCCTTTTGGTTGCTTGTAAAATCAGATAGGGATGTTTGTGGGCGGGGTACCATGGTTGTTAAACCCCGTCACAACTCATTATTATTGTTATTTAAGTAATTGTTTGTGTGTTTGTATGTCACCTTCATCACATTTATTTATTTATGTATTTTTTGGCTTAGCCCATGATGGAAATGGTTAACTAAAAAAATGCTGTACATTTTTTACAGACATAAACTTTATGTAATTTAATTCTATATCTTCTTTGGAATAAGAAAACCGAAATAGTGAGAAAAAGGCCTCACTTGGACACTAGAATTACTGTGACGTAACTCCTCCAAGTTGCGCGCGAAAGTTCTCGGCGGTTGCCGGTTAACTTTTGAAGAGATTGCGCGTGATATGAAATGACGTAAGCCATCGAGTGAAGAAAACAAAGTGCAGTCATCCTACCAGTTGTTTTTATTCAAGCTGCGGTGAGTTAGACGCATTTGAAACTTTATTTCTAATTCGTTTAGAAAAGAAAATTGTTGGTACCTTGGTGAGGCATCGCCTGCAATTGTTATGATCTCTCATATTTGCACAGACATTATCATATCGAAAGCAGATTTTTGAAATATGGTCAGGAAGCGAGCAGCTGCCTTTCAAATTTGAAACAACCAAGAAAGTTGAAAGTTCAGGACTTGTACGGTAAAAATAACTATTTTAAACATAGATTGATGGTAGTCAACTCAAGCACGTAGGGCCAGCTGTGGTACCACGGTTTGAAACGTGCGGAAAGAGAGTCAAAAACAAGATTGATTTCATCCACGGTTAACTGTATTTTTTTCTGCTTTATTAACGCGCGCGTTGTCGGGTTATTTAGTTGAAGTTTTCTCCGGACCGATTTGGCTTTACCCTTTCGGCGCTGACTCTCTTTCCAGGTCTGTTCACTGTGCCCCTGATGAGAATGACAGACCTTCTGAGGGGACTAAAATTTTAAATAACATCAGTCTATGTTCCCGTCTATATTAGTGAGCTCACTAGTACTTAATAACAGTGTAACATAGCTATTTATCTATTTAGTTCTCGTATCATAGCTAAATGAGTATTTACCACTTACTTAATGCTATGCATTATTATTAAAAAATAACTAACGTATTTGTGGCTATTCTTCCCACAGCTGCATGTAGTTTACGCTCAATGAACTGATGTGTAGTCATTGAACCACTGGTGTGGTTATTGATCTGTTGTCTACTTATTGAACTGCTGTGTCGTTATTGAACTAACAAAAAAGAAAAATGTGTGCAACTTTTCTGTGTGTTCATTTCCGTCTTCGTCTCCTTGCTACAGATTAAAACGAAAAATAACACTGAGATGATATATTTCCCGGTTAGACAAATGCTGTCACTTTGACACTTTAACTCATCCGAGCGCGTTGATCATGACATTGGTCACGGACTTGTGAAATAGGGGCAAATTTGGTCGTTCCGTTCCTCACTTACTGATGTTAAAAATACTAAAAAAGCTGAAAATGGATTAAATTTGTAGCTCACACTAATAAACCGTTATGCGGTGCGTGTGCATCTTTCGGGTTGGCGGGAAAATAGGAATCATACTTGCCGGGAGCTAATGCAGGGCTATATGTAAGGGGGAATCCGCAAGATGAAGGAACAAGTTGTCGACCACAAATTGAAGAAAAAGTTTAATCTAGATAAAAAATAAAAAACACCCTCGGTGGAGATCATGTTTAACGACTTCCAGTCTTTATGTATGTTGAATGTTACTAAATGACAGTTTTTTTTTTCCTTTCTGTATCTCTTATTTCATTTCTCCTTAAATTTCTGTGTTAAAGGCCTTTTGGTGATACACGATTAACAGTTGTAAGAATCTCTACCTTTCAGTGTGTCATCATCAAATTTCAGCTCTTTTGCTGTACCAAGTGCTGTAACATCACCCTCACTTGCTGCTCCGTTTCCACTGTGTGCCATAATGGTTTGATCTGGAAAAATCATTATAAAGCTGTTAATTAACATTATCTTCACTTGTATATAAAGCACCAGTACCAAAACAGCCATTCATTTTGACACAGGAGATAAAGTCGACCACAAATTCTAAGAAAAGCCTAATCTAGATAAAAAATGAAAAAACCACCTTCAGTAGAGATACTGTTTAACGACTTTGACTCTTTAACTACTTCCGTACGTTGAATATTTTCAAATGACGGTTTTTTTGTCTTTTTTGTATATTTTATTTCATTTCTCCTAAGTTTGCTACATTAAAGGCCTTTTGGTGATACACCATTAACAGTTGTAAGAATCTTTACCTTTCAGTGTGCCATCATCAAAATTCAACTCTTTTCCGGTACCAAGTGATGTAACATCACTCCCATATGCTGATTCGTTTGCACTCTGTGCCGTCATGGTTTCATCTGGAAAAATCAGTAAAAAGCTTTAAATTAATATTAACTCGGGTCACTTGTATAAGCACTGTTACCAAAACAAACATTCATTTTGCCACAAGTGGTAAACTCACATTAGTATAAAACTTTTAGTGACTGAACAAATCAAGCAAAATTATGTGGCAGGCAGTCATGAAATGCGTGGTGAAGTAATTTTCAAACAACAGGACAGTACACGTAATCTGATTCAGTTTTCCATTGTTCTTTCAATCAAGACATGAAACTGCTTTTCAGAATTCAGTAGCCCAGTCGCTCAGGTTACCCTAATAACCAACCATTGCCAACTCACTTTTCGACAATCTCGGTAGTTGATTCAGTTTCAGATTCAGAGTGACGGTTTTTGCAGGTTTTTTTGTTACCCTAGTCAATAGACTCAGTAGCAGCAGAGAGTTACAGTACCACTTCAGTAAGACGTGACAGAACCATATTTCAAAACAGAATCAGAAGTCAATTGAAGCAATAATCCTTATAAACATATTGTTTCTTTTTGGTGCAAGTGAAATTCGGTTAAGTTTACTTTTAGCTTTACAGAACGTAACGTGACAATAGTCATAATTTGCAACAGCTTTCTTTATTTGATAATACGTTGTTGATAAAAATTCGTGACAAAGACACTGTTAAGTATATAAATCCGGTTTGCTACTTAAAGATGTTTGGCTGCTATGACCACATCAACAACAACACTTTTTAACTTTCAAAACTACAAAAACTTAAGATTGGATTAACACTAACATAACCTTTTCAAATAGTAATAATAATAATTATTATTATAATTATAATTATAAATGGTACAATGTGAAGGTGCTGTAGATGCACCATATGATTTCAGCATCCGTTATTATAAATGCCTTGCTAATTACTTCTGTTGATGGGTTCAACCGCATAACAAATTATAATGGGAATATTGTTTGGTAAACCTTTCTGAAACCTCAACTGGACACAATGTCACACTTTCAAAGCCGGCCCTGTAGCATGCGCAAAAAAAAAGATTGAAGAGCGGCTAGTGGTATACGGGATACCGTAACACCGCAAAGAAAAATCGAGAAATTCGACACAACCATTCTAAAAATCGCCCAGCCAATTAGAAAAATTCTGCAAGTTTAGAAATACCACAATATCAGAATTCAAGACCACAATTACATACGTACCGCATAAAAATTTGCCAAACACAATAATACCGCAAACTTTCTCAATGTAAGGCGCTAAAGATGTAAACCTCTACTACACTCTCCCCTCCCCGAGACAGACGTTTGATTCCAAATGCCCAACGGTGCAGTGGGCAAAAGAAGCTAGAGGCAACGCAAATGCCTAAAGGGGATGGTCACAATTCAAATTAACTGACCCATTTTAGTTGATTGCAGCAGGCCCTTTCACCGGAGGTGAGGGTTCTTCGTTTTCGAGTTGAGTGTATTTCGGTTTCCAAAACATACAAGATACTTGGTTCTTTTACCATTCCTGGTTGTTCCCTTTTTACTTGTAGGTCTCTCCGATTCAGCTTCGTGTTCGACAATTTGTTTTGCTCTTGTGAAACACGTCATAAGCAAAACTTTCGATTAAGAAATTTGGGATGGAACGAAACTCCAGTGGAGGTACTCCGGATTTCAAGTGACAGCGATGATCGAAGGATTTTTTGGGTCTAAAATTTTAAATTTGGGGGATTCTTTTGGGGTAGGAAAAATTTTGCACGTATTTTCTTAGTTGGCTTGATTTTAACTGAATAATCTTGGTGGTGCGCCGTTCTGTATAGGATTTTTTTTGGTTTTAATTTTTTGTCCAGGGACTCTTTTTGGGGTTTTGATTTTTGCCCCCATTCGGTTATCCACGTCTCTTGAAATCAGGAATACCCGTTTAGAAAGAAACTTGCTATGGTATAAAAAAATAAAATGTTGAATTATAATTTTGGGTACAAAAGATAAGAGTACAATGCGGACTATCGTGTGCAACATTTTAACATGTTCATTTCCGTGTTCGTCTCTTTGTTACAGATTAAAACGAAAAATACGATAGAGATCATTTATTCCACGGATAGGCAAATGGTGTCACTTGTTAACTCATTAATGGCGTTGATCATGACATTGGTCACGTGAAATAGGGGCAAATTTGGTCGTTCGGTGCCTCACTTTCTGATGCTAAAAATGCTGAGAAAGCAGAAAGCGCATTAAATTTATAGCTCACACTAATAAACCGTTATGCCTTGCGTGTGCATCTTTCAGGTTGGCGGGAAAATAGGAATCATACTTAGAGGGAGCTAATGCAGGGCTATATGTAACGGTGAATCCTCAAGATAAAGGAATTCGTTGACCACAAATTTAAGAAAAAAATTATACTAGATAAAAAATAGAAAACACCCTCGGTGAAGATAATGTTTAACGACTTTCAGTCTTTATGTGTGTTGAGTGTTATCAAATGACGGTTATTCTTCCTTTATGTATCTTTTGTTTCATTTGTTAAAAGTCAATTGGTGATACACTATTAACAGTTCAAGAATCTCTACCTTTCAGTGTGTCATCATCAAAGTTCAGCCCTTGTCCGGTACCAAGTGATGCAACATCACTCTTACTTGCTCCTCCGTTTCCACTCTGTGCCATGATGGTTTGATCTGGAAAAATCAGTATAAAGCTGTAAATTGACATTATCCTCACTTGCATATAAAGAACTAGTACCAAAACAGCCATTTATTTTGCCACAAGTGGTAAACTCGACCGCAAATTCTAGGAAAAGCCAAATCTAGATAAAAGTTGAAAATCCACGTTCAGTAGAGATAATGTTTAACGACTTTGACTCTTTAACCACTTCCGTATGTTGAATGTTTTCAAATGACGGTTTTTTGTCCTTTTTATATATTTTATTTCATTTCTCCTAAGTTTGCTATATTAAAAGCCTTTTGGTGATACACTATTAACACTTGTAAGAATCTTTACCTTTCAGTGTGTCATCATCAAAATTCAGCTCTTGTTCGGTACCAAGTGATGTAACATCACTCTCACATGCTGCTCCGTTTCCACTCTGTGCCATAATGGTTTGATCTGGAAAAATCGGTAAAAAGCTTTAAATCAAAATTAACTTCACTTGTATAAGCACTAGTACCAAAACAACCGTTCATTTTGCCACAAGTGGTAAACTCACATTAGTATAAAACTTTTATGGACTGAACAAATCAATCAAAATTCTGTGGCAGGCAGTCATGAAATGCGTGGTGAAGTAATTTTTAAACAACGGGACAGTACACGTAATCTGATTCAGTCTTTTTTTGTGCTTTCAATCAAGACATGACACTGTTTTCCAGAATTAAGTAGCCCAGTCGCTCAGGCCACCTAGTAACCAACCATTGCCAACTAACTTTTCGACAATCTCGGTGGCTGATTCAGTTTCAGATTCAGAGGGACGTTTTTTGCAGTTTTTTTTTGTTACCCTAGTCAATCGACTTAGTAGCAGCAGGGACATACAGTACCAGTTCAGTAACACGTGACAGAACCATATTTGAAAACAGAATCAGGAGTCAATTGCACCAATAATCCTTATAAACATATTGTTTCTTTTTGGTGCAAGTGAAATTCGGTAAAGATTACTTTTAGTTTTATAGAACTTAACGGGATAATCGTCATAATTTGAAACAGCTTTCGTTATTGGTAATACTTTGTTGATAAAAATTCCTGATAAAAACAATGTTAATTATATAAATCCGGTTTGCTACTTAAAGACGTTTGGCTGCTATGACCACATCAACAACAACTTTTTTTTTTACTTTTAAAACTACAAAAACGTAAGATTGGATTAACACTAAAATAACCTTTTGAAATAATAATAATAATAATAATAATATAATAGTTATAATAACTATAATAATAAATGGTACAATGTGAAGTTGCATTGGTGGCACCATAGGATCTTAGCATCCGTTATTATAAATGCCTTGCTAATTATTTCTGTTGATAGGTTTAACCGCATAACAAATTATCATGGGAATACTGTTTGGTAAACCCTTCTGAAACGGTTACTGGGCACAATATCACACTATCAAAGCTGGTCTTGTAGCAGAAGTATACGCATGCGCAAAAAGAAAGATTGAAGAGCGACTAAGGGTGTACGGAACACCGTAACACTGCAAAGAGAAATCGAGAAATTCGACACAACCATGCTAAAATCGCCGAGCCAATCACAAAAAAATTCCGCATGTTTAGAAATACTACAATATTAGAATTAAAGATCACAATTACATAAGTACCGCAGGAAAATTTGACAAAAACACTAATACGGCAAAATTTGTCAAAGTAAGACGCTAAAAACGTAAAACTCTACTATACTCTGCCCTCCGCAAGACAAACGTTTGATTTCAAATGTCCCACCGTAGGTAAGAGTACCTAGAGACAACGTAAATGCCCAAAGGGGATGGTCACACTTCAAATTAACTGACCCATTGTAGTTGATTATAGGTTCTTTCACTGGAGTTGAGGGTGCTTCGTTTTCCAGTTGAGTGTATTTCGGTTTCCAAAAAGTATAGGATACTTAGTTCTTTTCCCATTCGTGGTTGTTTCCGTTTTACTTGCAGGTCTCTCCGATCAAGCTTCGGATTCGACAATCTGTTATGCGGTTATGATGTACGTCATAAGCAAAACTTTCGATTACGAAATTTGGAGTGGAACAAAAAACTCCAGTGAAGGTACTCCGGATTTCAAGTGATAGCGATTATCAAAGAATTAATAGGGTTTAAAATTTTCAATTCTGGGATAGTTTTGGGGTAGCAAAAATTTTTTCAAGTATTTTCGTAGCTGGCTTGATTTAGGATTTTTTGGGAAGTTAATTTTTGGTCTAGGGAATTTAGGGGGTTTTGATTTTTGCGCCCATTCGGTCATCCACGTCTCTTGAAATCCGGAATACCCCTTGGGAACGAAAATTGCTTTGGTGTAAAAAAATAAAATATTGAATTATAATTGTGGCTACAAAATATAAGAGTACAATACGGACTATCGTGTGCAACATTTTTGTGTGTTCATCTCCTTGCTACAGATTAAAACGAAAAATACGACAGAGATAATTTATTCCCCAGTTAGACAAATGGTGTCCCTTGTTGACTCATCAATGGCGTTGATCAAGACATTGGTCACAGACATGTGAAATAGGGGCAAATTTGGTCGTTCCGTTCCTCATTTTCTGATGTTAAAAATACTAAAAAAGCAGAAAATGCATTAAATTTGTAGCTCACACTAATAAACCGTTATGCGGTACGTGTGCATCTTTCAGGTTGCAGGAAAATAGGAATCATACTTGCCGGAAGCTAATGCAGGGCTATATGTAACGGTGAATCCTCAAGATAAAGGAATTCGTCGACCACAAATTTTACCAAAATTTTAATCTAGATTTTAAAAAAAACACATCCAGCGGAGATAATGTTTAACGACATTCAGTCTTTATGTATGTTGAATGTTATCAAATGACTATTTTTTTCGTTTCTGTATCTTTTATTTCATTTCTCCTTAAATTTCTATGTTAAATGCCTTTTGGTGATACACTATTAACAGTTGTAAGAATCTTTACCTTTCAGTGTGTCATCATCAAAGTTTAGCTCTTCTCCGGTACCAAGTGATGTAACATCACCCTCACTTACTGCTGCGTTTACACTCTGTGCCATAACTGTTTGATCTGGAAAAATCAGTATAAAGCTGTAAATTGACATTATCTTCAGTTGTATATAACGCACCAGTACCAAAACAGCCATTCATTTTGCCACAAGTGGTAAACTCGACCACAAATGATTCTACGAAAAGCCTAATCTAAATAAAAAGTTAAAAAACCACCTTTAGTAGAGAGAATGCTTAACGATTTTGACTCTTTAACCACTTTTTTGTTTTGTTTTTTGTCATTTTTGTATATTTTATTTCATTTGTCCTTAGGTTGCTATATTAAAGGCCTTTTGGTGATACACTATTAACACTTGTAAGAATCTTTACCTTTCAGTGTGTCATCATCAAAATTCAGCTCTTGTCCCTTACCAAGTGATGTAACATCACTCTTACATGCTGCTCCGTTTCCACTCTGTGCCATAAAGGTTTGATCTGGAAAAATATAAAAAGCTTTAAATTAATATTAACTTCACTTGTATAAGCACTGTTACCAAAACAACCATTCATTTTGCGACAAGTGGTAAACTCACATTAGTATAAAACTTTTATGGACCGAATAAATCAATCAAAATAGCTCAAAATTCTGTGGCAGGCAGTCATGAAATGAGTGGTGAAATAATTTTCAAACAACAGGACAGTACACGTCATCTGATTCAGTTTTTTATTGTGCTTTCAATCAAGACATGAAACTGCTTTCAACAATTCACTAGCCCAGTCGCTCAGGCCACCCTACTAACCAACCACGGGCAGCTTTCTTTTCGACAATCTCGGTAGCTGATTCAGTTTCAGATTCAGAGCGACGGTTTTTGCAGTGTTTTTTGTTACCCTAGTTACTCGACTTAGTAGCAGCAGGGAGTTATAGTACCACTTCAGTAACACGTGACAGAACTATATTTGAAAACAGAATCAGGAGTCAATTGCAGCAATAATCCTTATCAACATATTGTTTCTCTTTGGTCCAAGTGAAACTCGGTAAAGTTTACTTTTAGTTTTATAGAACATAACGAGATAATCGTCATAATTTGAAACAGCTTTCGTTATTGGTAATACTTTGTTGATAAAAATTCGTGATAAAAACAAAACACTGTTAAGTATATAAATACGGTTTCCTACTTAAAGATGTTTGGCTACTATGACCATATCAACAACAAAACTTTTTTAACCTTCAAAACTACAAAAACTTGAGATTGGATTAACACTAAAATAACCTTTTCAAATAATAATAATAATAATAATATAATAGTTATAATAATTATAATAATAAATGGTACAATGTGAAGGTGCGGTGGCTGCATCATACGATTTCAGCATCCGTTAATATAAATGCCTTTAGTTACTAATTGTTTCAATTGATCAGTCCGGAATATCCCTAAATTTAAGGACAGGGCCAACTGGTCACGCGACACTTTTCAACCAATGAGAAGGCGCGCTTGTGTTTATCAACAAACAAATCAAAACATCGCCCCAGTGATAAAAAATTTTCAAAACAACGGACGGAGTCGAACAGAATCAGTCATCGTTTCGAGGCTCTCAGGCATATTTTTAAGACTTTTCATGATGAGGCACACAATTTTTTTAAGTGGACAGCGTATCGAAAGCCATATTGGAAGTGTCTCGTGAAATATTCAGCACATTTTGTGGCTTATTTCTTCTTTTATCATTTAAACAACTGGTCGGTTTTCAAGGTAGGTGAACAAGTATCTATTATTTTTTCGATTCACAGATTTTTTACGAAGTTCTGGATATTTTTCCTCGATTGTCATATCGATTAACTTTTATCATGTTGAATGTGGGGATGGTAGACAACCTAGAATTTTGGTAGACAATTTTTGAATTCCGAGGTCCAAAACACGTACGTTTTCTACTCGCGGGTTTCTCACAAAAGCCGTGTTATTACTTTTTTTCGCATTAGTACGAGCCTTTGCCTTTTTTCTTTTCAAGGCCAAAACAACCTTATTAGTCTCATGGATATTGATGTCCAACATCTCGCCTCACTTTGCCGAATTTGCGGGGATGAAATTGAAGATCATAAGCGCAAGGTACAGAAGGTAGATACTAACCGCTTTGTTTCTGAAATTCACTAATCTGGAAAGATTTAATGTTTTTGGATTCTCCAAATGTTCACCCACCGTTAAAAAACAATCAAAGAAACAAGGCAAATCTCAATTGTAAATGCTGTATTTCGCTACTCGTTGAACATGCACTGATTATCTGGGATAAAATTAAAACTTTGCAGGTACTACAGCAAGCAAAGAAAGCACCAGATGCGTGAAGTCAACACGAAACAACACAAAAAAACAAACAAGAAAAATTAATAAATTTGAACTACTTTCTATTCTTCTTATGATGACTGGTTCTTTGATTCTTGTCCTGTAGAAGTTAATAGGTAATACCAATCCTGTTTTGTAGGATCTCAACAAATTTTCACACTCCCTCTAAGGCTATTTTTCACGGCACCAGTTGCTTTTATCAAAAATCTTGCAAGCCATGCCAGTGAAGCCACGACCTCTGCGATCGGTCAGGAATCAGTTCGAACACCCCACTGATTCCTTGCAATGATTAATGCTCTTATTCTCTTACATGAAACGTTTTCTTTGAAATATTAAATGTGAAACCTAGACGAATACTGTAAGCTCATTTTTAATTCTGTCCGACTCCGTCCGTTGTTTTCAAAATTTTTGATCACTGGGGCGATGTTTTGATTTGTTTGTTGATAAACACAAGCGCGCCTTCTCATTGGTTGAAAAGTGTCGCGTGACTAGTTGGCCCTGTCCTTAAATTTAGGGATATTCCGGACTGTTGATGGGTTCAAGCGCATAACAAATTATCATGGAAAGATCGTTTGGTAAACCTTTCTAAAACCGCAACTGGGCACAATTTCACACTATCAAAGCCGGTCTTGTAGCAGAAGTATACGAATGCCCAAAAAATAAGATTAAAGAGCGGCTAGAGGTATACGGAGCACCGGAACACCGCAAAGAAAAATCGACGAATTTGATAAAACCATGCTAAAAATCGCCGAGCTAATCAAAAAAAGGTTTCACATGTTTGGAAATACCACAATAGTAAAATTAAAGACCACAATTACATAAGTACCGCATGAAAATTTGCCAAACACAATAATACCGCAAAACTTCTCAATGTAAGGCGATAAAATGTAAAACTCTACTATACTCTCCCCTCCCCGAGACAGATGAAGAGCTATTAGAAAAAGTTTAATCTAGATAAAAAATAAAAAACACCTTCAAGGGAGATAATGTTTAACGAGTTTCAGTCTTTATGTATGGTGAATGTTATCAAAAGACGGTTTTTTCCTTTCCGTATCGTTCATTTCATTTCTCCTTAAAGGCCGTTTGGTGATACACTGTTAACAGTTGTCAGAATCTTTACCTTTCAGTGTGTCGTCATCATCAAAGTTCAGCTCTTGTCCGGTACCAACTGATGTAACATCACCCTCAATTACTGCTCCGTTTCCACTCTGTGCCATAATGGTTTGATCTGGAAAAATCAGTATAAAGCTGTAAATTGACATTATCTTCATTTGTATATAACGCACCAGTACCAAAACAGCCATTCATTTTGCCACAAGTGGTAAACTCCACCACAACTGATTCTAGGTAAAGTAAGCTAATCTAGATAAAAAATGAAGAAACCAACTTCAGCAGAGATAATGTTTAACGACTTTGACTCTTTAGCTACTTCCGTAGGTTGAATGTTTTCAAATGACGGTTTTTTGTCATTTTTGAATATTTTATTTCATTTGTCCTTAGTTTGCTATATTAAAGGCCTTTTGGTGATACACTATTAACAGTTGTAAGAAACTTTACCTTTCATTGTGTCATCATCAAAATTCAGCTCTTGTCCCGTACCAAATGATGTAACACCACTCTCACACGCTGCTCCGTTTCCACTCTGTGCCATAATGGTTTGATCTGGAAAAATCGATAAAAAGCTTTAAATTCATATAAAACTTCACTTGTATAAGCACTGTTACCAAATTCATTTTGCCACAAGTGGTAAAGTCACATTAGTATAAAACTTTTATTGACTGAACAAATCAATCAAAATTCTGTGGCAGGCAGTCATGAAATAGGTGGTGAAGTAATTTTCAAACAACAGGACAGTTCACGTACTCTGATTTAGTTTTCCTTTGTGCTTTCAATCAAGACATGAAACTGTTTTCCAGAATTAAGTAGCCCAGTCGCTCAGGCCACCTAGTAACCAACCATTGCCAACTAACTTTTCGACAATCTCGGTAGCCGATAGAGCTTCAGATTCAGAGTGACGGTTTTTGCAGGTTTTTTTGTTACCCTAATCAATCGACTTAGTAGCAGCAGGGAGTTATAGTACCACTTCAGTAACACGTGACAGAACTATATTTGAAAACAGAATCAGGAGTCAATTGCAGCAATAATCCTTATAAACATACTGTTTCTTTTTGGTGTAAGTGAAAGTCGGTAAAGTTTTCTTTTAGCTTTATAGAAATTAAGAGGATAATGGTCATAATTTGCAACAGCTTTCGTTATTGGTAATACTTCCTGATAAAAACACTGCAATGTATATAAATTCGGTTTGCTACTTAAAGATGTTTGGCTGCTATGACCACATCAACAACAACACTTTTTTTACTTTCAAAACTACAAAAACTTGAGATTGGATTAACACTAAAATAACCTTTTCAAATAGTAATAATATTAATAATAATATAATAGTTATAACAATTATAATAATAAATGGTACAATGTGAAATTGCGGTGGCTGCACCATAGGATTTCAGCATCCGTTAATATAAATGCCTTACTAATTGTTCAAGCGCATATCAAATTATCAAAAGTTTGTTTGGTAAACCTTTCTAAAACCGCAACTGGGCACAATAACACGCTATCAAAGCCGGTCTTGTAGCAGAAGTATACGCATGCGCATAAAAATAAGATTAAAGAGCGGCTAGGGGTATACGGAACACTGTAACACCGCAAAGAAATTCGTCGAATTCGACAAAACCATGCTAAAAATCGTCGAGCCAATCAAAAAAAGAATAAATAAAACACAATAATACCGCCAACTTTCTCAATGTCAGGCGATAAAATGTAACACTCCACTATACTCTCCCCTCCCCGAGACAGATGCAGGACTATATGTAATGGTGACTCCTCAAGGAAAACGAATTCATCGACCACAAATTTTAGAAAAAGTTTAATCTAGATAAAATATAAAAAATAAAAAACACCTTCAGTGGAGTTAATGTGTAACGACTTTCAGTCTTTATGTATCAAATCTTGAATGTTATCAAATGACGGTTTTTTTTCCTTTCTGTTTTTTTTTATTTCATTTCTCCTTAGTTCGCTATATTAAAGGCTTTTTAGTGATACACTATTAACAGTTGTAAGAATCTTTACCTTTCAGTGTGTCATCATCAAAGTT